GACTGCTAACTGTAGCTTACACTTCTTCAGTTAGGACTAGGTGAAACTTTGAGGCACCTTATTATTGCAGTTAACTGGGAGCTGAAACCATGCTTTGGATGTGTGGAACATAGAAGATTACCAAGATAAACAAAGAGCTTCACTGGGAAAAGGGTAGAGAATCAGTTTGAATTATAGAGTAACTGTGATGACAGTGTCAGGAGAAGGACATATCAGAAGCAAAAAGATGCTCTCTTTCACTGTCAATTAATCTTTGGCATTGGCATCTTGGCTTCTCTATGAATGTACAACCAATTTTGTGCCTTCAATACATGGATTTCCCTTTTCAATCTTCCATTCCTTTTCATTTCCCCATTTCTTCTGAATTATATTGTGCTTAGAGTAATGAGAAGAAGGACCCTCTGTGACGGGGTGAACAGTTGAATGAGGTGGAATGAAATCGGTGTGAATCTGTGAACTGTTGAAGTTACACCTTCATTGGTCTACTGAAAACCCATACATCACTGATTAATTTAAACTAAAGAATAATCAATAGTGATTTAAATAAATAAGACAGAACACATCACCTTTAGTGTAGAAAATATACATTCTCAGGCACACATAGCACAGGCCTTCTAAAAATGCATCAGTAATTTACAGGCTTTAACATCTGGATTTCACCATTTAATCTTTTAATGAAATTATTTGCTTTCATGTCTCAAATGATTGAGAGCTGCTCACAAGTTGTTAGCCTTTAGGAACTGTATTGGACGTTTTGCTGGTCGGTTTTTGGTAGATTTCTAAATTGAGAAGCTTTTTGAATTTGATGTCTTTGGAACTAGGGAAAGAAAAACTAGGGAGGATAGCTGATCTAACAGAACAGCTTCAAGACCATTCAATTGCCAATGATGCCCTTAGAAATTGATCCCACAGGATTTAACGTCATTCAGTTCACTTCACTTCATAATAAACAAGTTTTCGCAAAGTGTTTTTTTCAAATTCATTCGTGGGATGCCGGCATCACTGGCTGGCCAGCATTTATTGCCCAGCCCCAGTTGCCCTTGAGAAGGTAGTGATGAACTGCCTTCTTGGACAGCTGTATTCCACCTTCTGTGGAAAGTGGTGTAATATTGATGCAATAAAAAATTAAAATGTTAAAAATACTCAACAAGATAGTTAACAATGGTGAAAAGAGAAATGTTACTAACTTGAAACACTAAGAATTTCACTTTCTATTGATGCTGCCTGACCTACTGAGCATTTCTTACCTTTACTTCATATTTTCACCATCTGCAGGATTTATTTTATGTAAACATTTGAAACATTTTCCTGTAAATCTACTTGAAACCAGAATTTTACAGCACAAGAGAGGACCAAAAATGGTCCATTGTGTCTGTTAGGTCTTTTAGGAAGCTATCTACTTAGTTCTATTCTTTTACCTTTTCTTTGATTTCACCTACGTAGATTGCTTGGAGATGTTGGGACAGTTTTCTTTGAGAAGTTTGAGGGGGAATTTAGTAGAGGTATTCAAAGTCATTAGGGATCTGGACAGAGTAGACAGAGGGAGTAATCGTTCCCACTGACAAGATCCAGAAACAGAGGGTATAGATTTAAGGTGACAGGCAAAAGAAGCAATGGCAACATGCCAAAAAATGTTTTAACTGGTTAGGATCCAGAATGCACTGCCTGAGAGTGTGGTGGCAGCAAGTTCAATCAAGACAATCAAGAGGGAATTGGATTATCATCTGCTAAGGATGAATATGCAGGAGTATGAGGGAAAGAAGGGAGAGTTGGCACTGTGTGAATTGGTACAATGGGTTGATTGGCCTCCTTCTGTGGTGCAACCACTTATTGATGCCTTCACTCACATTTCAAAGAAACAATACACATTCTGCTTCAAACATGTTTCTATCAGAGAAGTTCACATTTATTCCCTCATCTTTTCTTTAATACACATTTCAGATCCTGTAGTTTTCAATTCTGACTCTGGAGGAAATTATGCAGGATTTACTTTATCGAAATTTACAATTTTGTATACTTCAATTGGAATTACTCTTAGCCTTTCTATAAAAAAGGCCAATTTCTATATTCCCTTCTCACAGCTACAATTAAGGCATTTTACTGAAAAATACCACAAGTGAGGCATTAAAAATGAAACTTTTGAGGGAATATATCTGCAAAATCTGAGGGAATACCTTGACAAACTTTCCGTCTCAAAAACTGCCACTGCATCGTTGCAAGCAAAACAGTAACATTTGCAAATCTTAAGCAAACTACAGCTGACATTATATTATGATCGATTTTTAAAAAATTAAAACAACCCACTATTAAGACTTTGGAGCGTTCAATTTCTGAAAAAGACAAATATTCATAATTCATTTTTAATGCAGCTAATACGAGTGCTTTGGATATTTTCAGATTTAAACACCATTTTTACTGAGATATGCAGGAATTAGTGAGTTAACATTAACCTTCTTGGATCCTTAAAGTCAATGCATAAGTTATGTTTGCAGTCAACACTACCCTGAACTCTGAATCAAGATTGGCTGCACTTTGTAGTAAAAATAATGGTCAGATTAACAAAGCTCACTGTTATTAAGGAGTAAACTGGACAGCAATTTCCAGCAACTTCTGTGTCAAGTCAAATGTAGAAATCAGAAAGTTGCTGGATCAGTTGCCCATGCTCCTTCAGAAGTCAGAACAGCATCTTGCTGGGAGCCTAGACATCGAAGCAGATGAAATGCGTGGAAGTGTGGGAATTTCATCATAGGTATCTTTTAAATCTGCCAGAAAGGCTTAAGGCATGTCTATTCAAATACATTTCAAATGGATTTTTTTCAAAAGCAGTGCAACATGTCTTAAGTACAGCGTAACAATCTCTGTCACTGAAAATGAACTTTTACAAATGTGGGCTCACATTTTTTTCAGATCTTAACCATTGTTGGAGATATTGCAAAAATCAAAATTTTGACGGCTTCCTCTGTTTATTTTATTGTGCTCAATCCATGTTTCTTCATTTTTGTGAATAATTTGTTACTAAATAAATAAAATGTTCCAACTTGCACTTCCTGGTTCAGAATCTGCAACATTAAGGTTTTTTCCAATTTGATTAGTCGAGGAAATTCTGAATTGTTAGCCTGGTTCGCACAGGTCCTAGATCCCTTTAAAGTGTGCTACACTGAAGTGAATTTCTAACTAATACAACTTTAAGAGCAAAACACTGTGGAATATTTGGGAAACTATATGTGTACCAATTGGCAAAGGTCGAGCATTTATCACTTGTTGCAAAAACCAGATGTGTGTGTACAGATATAAAGTAATTAGCAAAAGAATCAATGGTGACAGGGATGAAACCTTCATGCAGCAAGATCTGGAAGATGGTGGGAAGTGCATTCCAACACTATATTACTTCTGTCAGGTCATTTGTGTTTTCATTTTGGTGATGGATGCATTTTTCTGCGCCTTCCTCATGGAAGTAAGTTCAATGAATTTGAGAAAATAACAGTCAAAAACAAGCAATATTGCAAATACCGACTTAAAACCTCACAATCTCATATAAACAATGCACAATTGCTCAATCACATATTTGCCTATCACATTACAATAAACTGAATTATTACCAGGTCAGCCAACTTCAGTCATTAAATGCAAAATCTCAACATTCAGTCACTGTGTATGGCTGGGTTTGGGCCATGCCATGAATTTAGAGGAGCCTAGCTCCTGCTTCTCAGAGTATTATTTTACAAGTATTATTTTACGAGTATTAAAGAGATTAATTAAAATGTTATTCTCCTGTTCGCTTGGTAGTGAAGAATTTGAAAACCACCAAAAAGTGACCTGCTGTCAAAGCCTTTTGTCTTGCCCCATCAGGAAAACCTCTTCCCCAAATATGACATGAATGTAATTAATTAAATCAGGGGTTTTCCCCTTTTTAGTTCTGAGGCCCCAACTGTGCTTTTGTAAAACAATTACACTTTCTGTATAAAATGTAAACATGTTAAAAAAAAACTGTTGGCACTAATTCTAATGCTGGGAAAAAGACTTTAGCAGGTTTCTGTACGGAGAGAGATGTACAATTCATGTTTCATGCCAATGACCTTCCAGCAAAACTGGTCATCCATGAAAAAGACAGACTCCTGTTTTTCTTCAGCCACAGTTTGCAACATCGCCTTTATTTTAAGGAAAATGCAAAATTTCCAGCTTCCATGGTATTTCACTTGCTTTTATAAACCGGTTTGAATGTGGATCTTACAAGCATAAAAATCTCTCTTCCTCAAGAGATGAAGCTTTATAGTTGGAAATCAATAAAGCAATATTTGCCTTTTGAAAGATACAAAATAATGAAAAGAAATGACCTGCAAATCTCATGTATCAGCAGGGAGTCATTCATTATGGTTTAAACATGTGACTTACTGTGAATAAGTAAACACTGCTTCACAAATTCAGAAGTTCTGCAATGTTTCATTTATTGATGCTAAAACTGACTGTTCCAAATTCTTCCTGAATGAATATCCTCTGTTGCTAGTAATAATCCAATCATATGCAGTTTAAAAGGCTGAAACTGAGGAACACAGAGTTATCCCGTTCTAAACACAAGTACAATGCTGAGACAATTGGCTCATGTTCTCCTGAGATGCTCCTGATTTGTTTACCTGCTCCTTCTAGGACTGCTGTTTGACTCCCAACATCAACATGCAGTATATTTGTCCATTTTCATGGCCCATATATCATTACTACTGCTGCATTGTTTACCAAAACATTGGTGTGGCCAGAGATGGTAGCAGCTAAAGAACAAAGAAAAGCTGAACAGTTAATGTTGCTTTAATCCCATCTCATTGGAAGAGACCATCATCACCACAGCGGAAACCAGCATTCATGTACATGAGGTAAAGTTGTACCCTGCCAACTTAAGTCATTTAGTGGTAAAAACTGGCCACATACCTTGGCAATATACTGCACACTTTCCAACAATCTACCACACTTACTTAAACCTGGACAAATAATGGTAGAGAGGCACTCACCTTTTGAAAGACTTGGTAATTGGACTTAGACCAAATGTCCAGCTGTGATAAAAAAGCAATCATTAGATCAATTGTTAAAGGTCTCAGATTGTTAAATATTAACAAGCTATGCCCAAAGGAATTTCTGAATGCTAGCCAATTTATTTGTGCATGGAAGAAAATAAAATGTGTTAATTGGAAAAGCACTGTCAAAAATTAACTAGGCAACAGTTCTGATTATGAGAAACAATATAAGGCATGGAACAGCAGTTTAAAAATTTACCTGCTTAACACTGGAACAATTATAATCTAGCCCAAAACCTGCAGATCGAAGTAGCTGACAAATTGGTGAGATTTCAGAGAAGTAGCAGCAGTCAAATTCAACACAATTCCCAATGGAATGGAACACCCAGCATCAACTTCAAAACGAAACTGATTTGTCCTTTTCACTCAGAAAAGGCTGGTTTGTGTGCATGTGTGAAATGGAATATTGATGAGACAGCAAGTACTCCTCAGAGATTTTAACATGCTTCTACGCTGATTATATGTGTTGTATGCAAGCTAGGAATGCTGTATGCTGTCAAATGTGTAATATATAAGCCAGTGTTCAGTGCTTAATCTTTCTATTTAACTAAAATAACAGTTTGAGAAAAACATTCCTAATTTACAATGAGTAAGCAACGAATTAGAAGTACAGCGCTGGTTGCAGTGCTGGATATTAGGAACTGGATTGAGACCACTTAATCTTATTTCACATGGGACCCCTTCTGCTAGTAGACAGAACAAAGTCTGGACTGACTTTGAATCCAAAATTGGAGATGAAAGACCTGCGTCTCAATCATCTACATCATCCACTTTTGCATTCCAAGAAAAATAATTTAATCACCCAGTGCACATACATACAAACAAGCTTGAATAAAATAAGAATTAACACAAATGCAACATGCATAATCAAATTCTCTGATCTGCTTCATTATTTAGAGATGAGTTCTTTTTCCCCGAACATTGTTGAGTAAATAAGTTCATATTAAATAAAATCGTGCAATAAGTCAATAAATTTTGCAATCACTTCATCACTGTAATACTTGGATCAATTTCTAACAGAAGCATAACATATTATGCTTTAAATGAGCAGTTTACGTATCCTGGTAAATGCTAGCCAATGCAGGAAATATGTTCAGTGGAAGTTGCTTAATCAATAAACAAGCTGTTCTGTGTAAGTGAATTTGTGCCAGCAAGAATTCTTTTGAAACAAGTCTTCCGAGTAATTAGTTCTATCAAATTGACCCCAGATTTGCATATGCTGCAGCAAATATACTATTGCAAGACTCTTGTGGCACAGCAGTAGTGTCTGTACCTCTGGGCCAAAAGGCTTGGGTGCACATGTTCCACCTGCTCAACTGGTGTGTCATAATACGTCTGAAAAGGCTGATTAAAATATCTGCGAACTACAATCCAAGAAATTTTATTCATCATAGAATTTGATTACTTATCAACATTAAAGAAAATTTTCTCCCTTCTGTTAGTGAACCTGGTCAGAGTTTTCCAGGATAAAATGCCTTAGAAGCATGACACTATCTTTTGTAATAACTTGTGTTTTAATTGCGTTTCTTACTTTGTTGTTACAAACCACAGACACTGATAATGTTTTAAAAATATTTGAATTCCTGTAATTACTGTTCAAGTAAATAGCTAATCTACCTCTTTGACCCTGAACATTTTAAAAGAGATCGATCATGCCCCCTTTAATTTTCTCTGACTGGCTTTCAAGGCCTAGTATTTGTTAGGAACAAAAATAGAAGTTGCTGGAAAAGTTCAGCAGGTCTGGCAGCATCTGTGAAGAAAAATCACAGTTAATGTTTTGGGTCCGGTGACCCTTCCTCAGAAGAGGTCATTGGACCCAAAGCGTTAACTCTGATTTTTCCTCACAGATGCTGCCAGACCTGCTGAGTTTTTCCAGCAACTTCTGTTTTTGTTCCTGATTTACAGCATCCGCAGTCAGTACTTTCGGTTTTTATTTAGTATTTGTTCGAATTATCATTGTACTTGTATCGCTTATTTCACTTCCAATGACATACACAACATTAGCTATTTGTTTACATTGGTCATCTGCCTTTGATATATCTGATTAACTTTATTCACACTGGATCCAATGGATCTTTAGTAATCTCATGCAATCCATTCCCTTTTCCAGCTTTGCTAATACAAAAGGGGAAATCTCTCTGAGATTTTACAGAATATGCCAAAGATAGCTTTCAAACTTTTATTGTCTGGTTTGTACTTCTCAGCTAGGGAAGTGATCCCCAAAACAAATTCAAATGAACACTAAGCATTTAAATTGGGTATTCACATGTATTTGTAGATTGAAAGCCATGTAAGGAAGGGGAAAAATGGCATAGAAACTTGGAAAGAACTTTTAATTCAAGGAACCATTTCCTTTCTGAAAAGACATACAGTTTGGAGGTCTAATCCAATGCAAGAATTCTACTTCATAATATTTGTGCAGCATAATAGCTTGGATAGCCATCACAGCTCCTGAATGTGAACCCAAATTACCTCAGTATTGTTTGTATTAGACTAAACCTCCAATTGACTAAGGTGATGATCCACTAAGTTCAAAAGGTATATGCTAAATTTCAAGTATTTGAACAGTTGGTGTGACGATGCTGTGGCTTTACGAGATGTATTTTGTATTTTGTCCTGATTTCTTTTAAGAGATGGATCAAATGAGAGGTGCCAAACAGTCTGTGGTAACGTAAACAGTTTGAGAGGCCTTGGTTTTTTTTTAAGTTGGAACAATGGAAGCAGATTGGATGGGTGTGGCCAGCTCTCTCAGACCAGGATTTCTAGTTTAATTAAACTTTTAGATTCGGCAGAAGTTGCTGGAGTTTTTAAGAAGTAGAAGCTCATTTTTCCCTCTATCTTGGTTACAGCTAGAAGCGAGGGTTTCTATTTCAACTGCTGGATTGCGTGTGAGATAATCTGTATCTGACTTTGCTTTTTTGCTAAGGTGTGTGTTTGAAATGTTACTGTATTGGAACAGTTAATTAGTTATGGTTACTGTATCTATTATTCTGTTAAGTTTTCCAATAGAGTTAAGCTATTCCAAGTTCTTTCTTTTGTGGTATTTTAACTATAGTGTTTGAATAAATTGTGTTTTGCTTAATATTGAATAGTTTAATCAGTTGAATACAGCACTTTGCCTTTAAAATAAGAAAATGTTAGGGTCTAGGCTACCTTCTTAAAATATTTTGAGTGTGTCTGGTCTGGTCCAGAACAGTACAGTAAAGCCTTAATGGGTAACTAAAGTACTGATTGATGGAACGCAATCTTGCATTTACACTGATTCCATTTAAAAATTACAATTAAATTTAAAGAGAGAAGTAGGAGCCGCCTACAAGTCTGCTCCAGCATTCAATATGATTATGGCTGATTATCTGACTCAGTACCCTGTTCCTGCTTTATCCACTGTCGTGATTGGAATGACGACCGGGGGAATCTCATTGAGTATGCAGTCCCTGATTGGCCCAGGTTAATAACCCCAGAGAGCCCTGGCTGACAGGTATAAACAGGAGTCTCAGAGATTCTCACTATTCTAGGGACTGGCTCTGAACTGGCTGGTCAGAGCCCATATACTGTGCACGTCTAGATGTTGGATGAGTTGGTGACGGGATACTGGCTCTTTGGATTTATTTCATCCCCATTCCCTTTAGCCCCAAAAACACTAACTCCTCATTGAAAACATTCAATATTTTGGCCTCAACCAATTCCACAGGCTGATCACTTTCTGGTTGAAGAAATTTCTCCTCATCTCAGTCCTGGATGACCTACACTAAATCCTTAGACTGTGACCCCTGCTTCTGGACTCCCCAATCATCAGGAACATATTTCTTGTGTTTATCCTGTCTAGCCCTGTCAGAATTTTGTAAGTTTCTACATGATAATCCCTCATTCTTCTAAACACCATTGAATCTAGACCCAACCAGTCCACTTTCTTTTCATACGGAGCTCTTGGTGGATCACACTACGTTACGTCATTATTGGCAACAGAATCTCAAACAGTTTGATGGATATCTTCGAAATCATTTATTCTTTGTTTCTTTGCCACTGAAATCCTAATTAATACTTTCGTTATCACTAGATTCAACTGGTCCAATGCATTCATGGCTAGTTTCTCTCATTTTATCCACCCTAATGTGGATGCCTATCACATACAGAAATTAATTAGATAAATAGATAGAGACATAGAATGGTATGTAGATATATAGCGGGCTGAGAGGCTGTGCATAGAGACCCCTGGTTGAGGCTTAAATGGTTAAAACAAAATATAGTGGAGGCAAACTGAATTCAGAACTGTAAAGACAAAGGGCACGAGCCACCTAGCTACATAAAGAGGTATAACCATGATAATGTACGTAAAAGTATATACTCAATTTACAGAGAGATAATTGCTGTAAATGGGAACCTGCTTGCATTTTCAAGGGACATGGGCACACAGGAGCTTGATTAGGCTTACAATGGAATATATTCATCTCAACTTCAAGTGAGACTGTGATACTGTAATTATCCCACCTGTTTATTGTCATGTGACAAATAGTATACTACAAAGTGTAGCCCCCTCTCTTCCTCATCTTTGATTGTTCTGCATTGCCCTTAACTGGCTTTGCATGTAAATTAATCAGAAAACAATGAGTGATTTTCTAGAAGTGGTTAATAAATGAAAATAATGCCACATGTGATTTGGTGATTGGAAAACAAACACAAACACTCAGTTGTGAATAACAGCACTTCTGGATATCAAAAAAGGTAAAGTAAAAAACAAAAGACAAAATAAATAAGCATGTAAAGAAACCTGTTTCATTTACCAGGGAAGGAAATTGTCCACCCTTACCTGGTCAGGCCTACATGTGACTCCTGACCCACCGCAATGTGGTTGACTCTTAATTGCCCTCTGAGCAATTAGGGACAGGCATTTAATGCTACCCTCGCTCATGATGTCCACATCCTATGAATGAATAAAAAAAAATCTCTCGAGTTATATCCCAGCATGCCCACAGTAGACT